AAGCCAGCGGTAAATATAATTCACGTAAGCTTAAAGTAAGCGCCAGTTTGAGATACTTAGTTAAAGTTAATGACAATTAAGAATTCGAATACGTGTGTATTTCTCGGATCTCCTATTTCGGTAAACCTTACTTGAGTTGAGCTAGATTAGTAATCAATCGTATTCTTAGTAATTTAATTTAATATAAAGGCAAATCCCTTTAGAAGACGTAACATTATTATATTATTTGTTATCAGAGATTTTTGAGGAAATTATAACAAAAATAAACAAATTATTATTCAAAATGGCTCTTGGTGGTTCTTTGCCTCAAATTAATCTTGGTGTTCAAGGTGTGACCCAGGGGGGTCATCACAAATGGAAGTTTTATAGATACGAAATCTTTACATTGGAATATGCCATGCATTTAGTAAAATTACTAACAATACTTATGCAAATATCTAGTTAATTCATTTTGAAAATGACATTTTATAGTCATACATAAAGTAAAAAAAAACTTAAACGTAACAAATATCTTAAACCTACTAGCACATATGAAACGAATGAGTTATTCTTTTTTAAAAATAACAAGTAGCTAAAATAGAACTTTAAAAACATTAGTTTTCCCAAATAAAATTTTAAAATACAAGCAAATATAGAAAAAAAATTTTTTTAATTAAATAATTATTGAGATGCATTCTGAGACATAAAATTAAAGAATGTTTACAAAAAAATACTTCAGTAATTAAAAATCTTGAACAAATCAATCAAGTTTGTTTCGCGTTTTTTTGTTTTATTTTCATATTAAATTACTATTTAGGAAAAATATCTGAGCAGAATAAAACTCATTTTCGTATTGAAACTAATTATTACAATATTTCAAGCAATCCACAATAAAAATTTTAAACAAAGATTCTTAATCTAGAGTTCATGTACCCCTGATGATGTAAGAGGATAAATTTAAAAATGAAAAATTTAAATTCTAATCAAAGACTTAGAATTAATTTAAATCAAATCATTGAAAATTTAAAGCACGAAGGTGCGCTAAGAGATAAGGATTAGTTTGCGTAAATTTATTTAATGTGATTACTCAAGATCACCTTGCACGTGATTAAAAAGAATCATCCTGGAAATATAAGCCACAAAAGTATGCAAGTGATTAAGTAAAAAGTTTCAATTCTATTTTTTTGCTGTCTTATTTTCTTGCTCTTTTACTTCTGTATTTAAAATCTTCGGTGCCTCTATTAACGGGAACTTTTAACACGATTATCTTATATTTTAATACTGATATTTCAGCAAAAGTATCATATTTTAAAAATAGTTCTAGATTATATTACAAGAGCGCTGACTTGCAACAAGGTTAAGAACCCATGGTTTAAAACATGACTAGAATGAGGTATTGCATAGAAAAACTCAAAGGAAAATAAATGCTTTAAATTAAAATACATACATTGTACCTCTGTTATATTTAAGAGCTCAAAAGTAAGAACAAGACATTTTTTTAAAATTTAAAACAGCTTCGAGATTTACAATATTTAGTTTCTGTTGGGTTTTTTATTTATTTGTTTCCTACTTATTAAATTTGTATCATGAACTGCAACTTTTTTTTATCAATGAATTTTCTGTAGTTATCTGGATAGCATAATTTTTTAATGTAATTCAAAAGTATTAACCGGTCCTTATTCTTGCAGCAGGTGATTCTTAAATTGGAGATAAAATAAAATGGAATTAAAAAAAATAAATAAAAATATATAAAAAATAAAATAAAAATAGAACCTGATATCGTTCCGAGACATTCAGTTAAGCTCTTCTGTAATTGATTAAGTTAAGCTGACTGAAGTTATGTCAATGGAGCTTCATCTTTAAAATGCCGCTGTGATTATATGTAATTGCTATGTTGAAGGAAGAAAAAAAAAAGAACGTAAGAATATAAAAAAATGAGTAGCTGCAGTTTTCTATTCGCAAAAGCATGCATAGAGTATTCTACTTTTCTTTTCTTTTTTTTAAGAACTTCCTTTTCTTTTCTTTTGTTTTAACTCTTCTTTATTTGAGATTAAGTAAGCAATTGGAATTTTTTTTACCATTCAGTTTATATATGACTGCACACTGATGACGATTCTAGCTTTTTTTCTCTAAAATTGATGCTTCCATTTTCTTAGAATTTTCAAATTTTTCCAGCTGCTGAAATATTTGCTCGCTTTATATAGTAAGACAGACAGATAGATAGATAAATATAATAATAATTTTTTTTTAAATTATTATTTCCCATTTTTGACATTTTTTTTTACTCTTAACCTAAGTAAAATAGTCGAGGGAATGTTCATTCTTTAGAATTCAGATTTTATAAAACTAATTTGCAACAAAAACTTAAATTTCAAACTAAATTATCATAAAAATTAATCTTTTCAAATTTTAACTACATGCATGATAGTGTTCAAAAGTCAATAAATAACTTTGAAGCCAAAAGTTTAATGAGGTATTTTTTTAAAAAAAGCGTTGCGTAAAAACAAAGCGTTATTCTTATCATTTACATACAGTTATCATACTTTTGCACATTCGAATAAATTATTCAGGGTTATAAAGTACATTTTATGTATAAACTGTTCTACCTGTATTTTTACATGGGATTCATTATTAACATATAATACTAGAATTCAGTGGCGCACACAAGGGGAGTGTCCTAGGGGTCCGGACCCCCTCCCAAAGCCCTTGATTTTTTTCCCGATTGATTATAATTTTAAGTATATAATATGTAAAATTTAATTAAATATTTGTTCTTAATGATTAATTTTATTAATTAATACTAATTATTCATTCAATGATTAGTTTTTTACTGTTTTTTGTTTCCCAAAATCGACAAAATCAAAAGGAGCATAATACAAGAATGGTGGACTTTCGACCCTGGACCACCCCCCCTGGAAAATTTCTGTGTGTGCTACTGCTAGACTTATTATGTTATTAAAAATTCAGTTAAATCTGCATGAATCACATACTAATGCCATAGATTTAAAAATTTATCACATTCAATCGTTGCAGTGTTAATTCTATTTTTAATTGGAACAATTATTCAAAAACTCGCATATTGTATATTTTTTATATTATTCTGCAGTTATAAAAAAATGTCTAACTGCCTTCTATTTTTTTGCTTTCGTTTACTTTCTTTATTCTCCTTTTTAATTAATTTTTGCCATGCATCTAATATTCTTTTTTAAATTCATGCACTATTGCACTAAAATACAGTGAAATATTCATAAAAATATCTACACATTCATATAATACAACTCCTACCTCTCATTCCTATTCGCAAAGACATGGAAGAAAAATTCAACTGAAAATATAACTAAAATAGTATACATTTTTGTCCAAAATGCATACCTTTATATGAAATTAGGTTTATTGTATAGTACATAATATGCACACACACATGAATACACATTTTTAGGTTTCAAAAATCTGGATACTTCAGGATGTATCCATTTAAACCATTTCTGTTAATTTTGATTTCTATATTTATAAACGCCACGAAGCTGTTCGGAAGCGCAATGTTTGTCAAATATTAACAGTTCATCTGGTGCATTTTTTTATAACAGTTATATTTCACCTTGAATATCTTTTTGTCTGTTATTTTTGTAGTTAAATTTTAAAGTAATTTTCTTTTTGAAACTTTTAAGTTTTATATGCCATGTATTAGAGAGAATGAGAATCTATTTTTTCTCTCAGTGGTTATCTAAACACGATAATATTGTTAACTTCACTAGAAGCTGTAAGACTACTATTTGCAACCATACTAATGATAGAAGTATTGTGTATTGCAGTTTAATGCCAGGAAGATATTCTTTTTGCTATAAGCAAGTAATAAAATCAATTTTGCTGAATTTGGCTATCTTTAAAACTGTTTTATTGAGATTATATCTTTGAAAGAACTGATAATGAATTGAAAATATCATGGGGAAAAAACCAAAACACATTTATTTAAAAGAAAGTTATCATACCTAAAAATGTATTTAAAAGTAAATTATCGTTCCTAAAATGCATTTAAAAGTAAATTATCATTTCCAATCAAGCTGCAAATACGGAGCTATCAGTAAATTTTATAAACGCATCAAAATGTTCTCCGAAATCTTACTTATCTTATTAAATAAATAAATGAATTTTGTTAAAAGTAAAAGAAGAAAGAAACTCACATAAAAATCTACGAATTTTAAGAGACAAATATAAAAAAAAATTCAAAAAAGTTTTGAAATATACTCAATACTCATGCCTTCTAATGTAATATCTAAATATGACGGAAATATTTAAATGTCTATGTATACATTTTTTCTAAAAGAAATGACTCTTTCGTAAAGATTTTAATACTTTATTGAAACAGTGTGTTGTCGTACAAAATTCACTGGGTTCTCTTTCAACGTGTTATCATGCATTTGTTCCTTGCATCGCAGCTCTGTTTGCTAATATACTTTTTTTAACTGTAGAGTGCATTTTGATATCTAAACATAAACATAAGCTAGTTATCAATGTTTGCGTTTTTACTTTCATGCTTTTTATCTAAGAAATATTTATATTAACAAGCCAATTATCTAACCAATTAGCAATGTATTTTTTATCAACATGTGCTTTATATTATATACATACATAAATACATACGTGTGTGTCAATTACGAAGTTTCAACGAAATAAAATGTCATTTTTAACTTTTCTGTCATCAATTGTTATGCAGAGAAAGAGACCATAGTCCATATTTAGGGATTTTAAGGTTTAAATATTTTTTATTATTAAAGCAATATCCTTTTTTAATTACTACTATTAGCTCACACTCTTTCTATATATATATATATATTGTTCAAATTTTCAATCGTTAATAAAGTACTTTTTAATCATCCATTCACGCTAAAATACGTTTTTTAAACTTGTTGTGGATGACACTTGATGTTAATACAGTTTTTTCAAATATTAATTAATTAATTAATAGTAACAAACAAAATAATAGTACAACACCATATATAAAAATGAAAATCTCTTGTTGGGCCCCTGTAGCGCAATCGGTAGCTCATTGGACTTCTAATCCATAGATCGTGGGTTCGAACCTCACCTGGGGTGGCCTAATTTCTGAGAATATGATTTCTTTTTTCTTTTCTTTTTTATTGGACTATTTAAATTTAATTAATGAATAAATAGTAACAAACACAAAAATAATAGTCCAACACCCTATATGGAAAGGAAAAGGGAAAATTACAAGCAAAATCGATTTCTATTTTGCCACTTAATATTGTGATTCTGTCATATGTATATACATATTTATATTAATTGTAATCATTTAATAAAAAGTAACTAAAATAAATTTTTTCTTTTATTGACCTAAGTAGGAATCGACTTTAATTTATATATATATGTATTATACTTGTTATTTTATGTCTGCTTAATTCTTATTAAGGGATATATAACAGCAATTTTTGTTCCCTTATGTCTTATCTTTTATAAATATATTTATAACTAAGTCCTTTTGACAAACAATCAAATGATATAAATTTTAATACCTTATATACAACACACATGTTATCAAGCTCCTTTAATCTATTTATATCGAGCGAAGTAACATGGAAGCTTTAGAAATGCACCATTTTCAGCTCATTATCCTTACCGCGATAAAGCCGTACACCAACGTCTAGTATTGCCCAAACTCGCAATGAATGTGTGCAATCTCTCACTTGCTTGGGTAAATTGAAAACCCTTTCAATAAAATTATCTAACCTAGTGTAAGAGGGATGAAAGGGAGAAGGCAATGTAAGAGATGAGTTAGAAATTGAAATCTGCCCTCCTATCTAAAAGATTACAAACTATGGCAACCAATAGTTCGTTGAAGAAAATAAAGAATAAACGTAATTTATAAAGAGGTCAGTATAATATTTATAATTCATGTATATGCAATTTCTATATACATGTATTTCTGAGTACATAATTATTTAAAATTACCTACTCTACAAAATAATTAATTAAGTGATTAAATCCATTATAATTTAAATATTCAATATTTAAATTCAATATTTAAGAATAATTTAAATATTCACTATTTAAATCAAACTCTGTGGTCGCAGTTCATTTTTGTGTGAAAGGTAATAATCTGCATATTTACTCTATCATTCAAATTATTACAGCCATGAATTACATTAAGAAGGAAGAACCATAAATAGTTTCATCAGCATGCTACTTCAATAGCTTGCATATCTGGCCTTAAGCTTAGAAAAATCATAGCTTTCTCTATTTTTTTTCTTATATACAATGGAAAAATTTATAGGAATTGTCAAATACAAAAGCTTTTTCAATATTATTTGAAGGAGGATCATCTTTGCCCTTCAAAATTGTATTATAACTTTCCCATAGCAAAAGAGGTGTTAAATTCATGGATAATCCATATTCATTCAACTTCTAAAAGTCTAATAAAAACTTAAACAAAAATATTTCATCATTTACCATTAGATGAACATATAAAATTAGATAGCAATTTACTTCAATAGCTACTAATACTTCTCTATATAATTTTAAATATTATCTTTAAGTTAATATTTAAAATAGCTTTATAGCAACTCGCATGTTTCAAATAATAAAGCACAGTAATGGCCATTCGAAATGTCACGCCATAAAAGACAAAAGATATAAAAAAAATTTGAAACTCTGAATTTTTTTAATATTGATATAGTAAATGATTATTTTTACACTAATTATACAAAGGAGTATAATTTTTAAAACGAAGTTTCTTTCGAAGTTCTTTAAAATAAATTGTGCCGCATTTCTTAATTTTTCTCTCTTCCGTTATTACAGAGAAATTTTACTTAAAAATGTTTTATCTCCTTTCATATTAGAGATAAATTTCTCTGATATTATAAGAAAAATAAATGCTTGTAAATATCAACATTATATATGGAACGATAAATTAATTAACTAATCTCGAGACTGCTTATAAAAGTTTTGTTTTATTCTCATTTATTCTTCTATATTCCATGTCTAATCATTATGCACAAAGCAATGCTCTTTGCTACCTTCTAGTTCTAAATCTTTTTATTCTCACAGCTGTCATCAATTCGCCTAAAAATGAATGGTCTCATTATGATAAATTGCAAAATAATAACGTCTAAGGATCTGAATCCGTCAAATATCCCTGAACCGTCCAGGATAATTTTACCTCAGCTTCAAATGAAATTTCAAGGCCTCTTTCAAACTGTAATAAGCACATTGAAAAAATATTTTTGCGTAGTTAATGATTCTACGGGTCAACTGATAAATCATCTATACCAGGGGTGGGCAACTAGCGGCCCGCAATGAGTTTTATGCGGCACTCCTAGACAGTCAGTAAATCCGTTTTGAACCGAGATTCGTCTTGTATTTTCCACTATTAGGAAAGCAAAGTACCTGAAAGTATTTCTACTAAGAGATCATCTGTAAAGTTTGGAGAACGAGGTCACAAACAGATTTCAGGATTTTAAGAAAATTAAGCCTAAATTGTGCTGATATTGATACAGCACTTGAGCAGCTACAGCTGTAACTCATTGACTTGAAGTCAGGTCATTGTGTGAAGAAAATTTTTAATGTTATGACATTGATTTTGACAAATCGTTCTCAACTGAAAAATTTCCGTGTATGAAGAAATTTGCGGGAAATTGTTCTTTATATTTTAATTGACATATATCTGTGAGCAAAGTTTTTCTTGCATGAAAATCAGCAAGAATAAATATAGATGCAAGCTGGCTGACGTAAACTCGCATGCTGTGATAAGAACTTAAGCAAGGAATCTCACTCCTGAGATTTATAAAAAATGTAGAAAATTATGATAAGGTACATTTGTCTGACTGAACTGATTCTAAAACTAAATGTGCTTGCAGCTGTAGACAATATGAAATTAGCACAATAAATAAATTGAATAAAACTGCCACTATTTAATTTAATTTATATCTATTATTATTTTTTAAAGAATGCAATCATTTTAAAAAGGTGAGGCTCTCCGGTATCCTGCGTTCCCACAATATGGAGGGTTGTGGCTTGAGAGGCAAAACAAGAGTTGCCCACCCCTAATCTACATCTCTGCCAAAAAAACAACATTTTAAATAAATAAATAATTGTCTGGTTGAAATATTGGCACTAGCTACTTCAGTTAGAACTCAATTATACATATTAAATTATTGACAAATATTAATCATAAAATTTTTCAAATATGTTAAATTAGAATGAGCAGAAAAATGACGAGATATTCGTTTTATATGTTATAGATAAAAAGAAAACTCTATAAACCAGTGCTTCTCAGACTAGGGGGCGTGATAACCCTACAAGGGGGACGCGAGCATATTGAAAAGTCGAAAACTGAAGACTATTTTTAAAAAAAAATTATTAATTTACTGAAAGCAAACAAATAGAAAATTAAATAAATACACATTTACACTTATAAATATATCAGTACTGCGCAATGAATTTTATGATTAATTTAACAATACTAAGTTAAGAACCAGTTTAATAATTACCAGTGGCCCCATGGGCTTGTCATATCTAAAATTAAAACTAAAAATTGACACTTATCTTGATAATTTATACGGTCCCTTAAAAGCCGATTACAAATGACGCGATTCACTCCCCAATGCCACCCTTTAACACGTGGGGAGCGTATCTGGTGTAGGGGACAGAAGAGGAATAAATAAGAGTAAATCCTTCCAAACACTGTCAAGTTCATTTGATTGCATTCCAAAGCCTTCGGAATAATTTTATGGATAGCAATGCACACAGAAAAAATCGTACTTAGTAAAGACGTATATATACGTTCGATACAATTAATACACTGGTTAAGTGAGACGTTTATACAGGGTGATTCAAAACAACGTGGACAAACTTACATGGTAGATCAGTCATACAACAAGGATCAAAAATCGCGTATGAACAGTGGGTCGCAACTGCGATCCGGATCCGCTACAGGGCGTCCAAAAAAATACATAACGCAAAGAGAAGAAACGAAACCATTACAGATAATTTTATTGTTAATGACTCTCTCCCATTCGACTAATGTCGAGCTTACAGCAAATGCTCAAAGTTTTTTCCAGAAGCATGGAGACACGTCTGGCATCTACGTTGCATGGAACAGCGCACCTTCTCAAAAATACCAGGTGTATCTCGAACACATCCTGTTGCCTCAACGATCCTTCCTACCAAGTCTTCCGGCGTTGCAACAGGTGTTTCATAGACAAGGCCTTTTAAAAATCCCCATAAGAAAAAATCCAAGGGAGACAGATCTGGTGATCGTGCTGGCCATGCGATCGGTCCACCGCGACCAATCCTGCCGCCAGGAAAAGTAGCCTGCAGATGTGCTCTGACGTCTATGCTGAAATGTGCAGGAGCTCCGTCGTGTTGAAATCGAATGCGTTGACGAATAGGCATCGGAACATCATTCAGCATTTCGGGCAGAACCTCTTGCAAGAATGTTAGATACACGGAACCGTTAAGTCTTTCTGGGAGAATGTACGGACCGAGTAAACAGTCTCCTACAATGCCAGCCCACACGTTAATGGAACATTTTCGTTGTGCGCCATGCGGACGTATGGCATGGGGGTTTTCATCCGCCCACGTATGCAGGTTGTGAAAGTTCATCACACCCTCTAATGAGAACGTAGCCTCATCCGTGAAGAGAACACTTGCTGCGAAGTTTCGGTTTGCATTACTTTCGTGCAAAAACCACCGCTCAAAATCCATACGTTTGTTGTAGTCTCCCAGTTCCAGTGCCTGGATGCGTTGTTAATGATAAGGATGTAGTCCTTCGTCGTGTGCAATGCGCCAGACGGTAGCTTGGGGGACATGGGTCTCTCGGGATACAACTCGTGTACTTGTTGAAGGATTACGCTCCAGTTCTTGGAGAACCCTGTCTTCAGCATCAACCGTCCGAGTTGTTCGTTGGCGACCAGTATCCAGCTTGTGCACGTAGAACGAGCCGGTTTCACACAATCGTCGATGCAGAGTGGCAAAGAATGAGCGGCTAGGCAACTGACTACCAGGATATTTCGCACGATACATTCGCAAGGTTTCTCGTCCATTACATTTGGCTATGCCGTAAATTAAGTGCATGTCAG